CAGGTACGACACACAAACAGACAAACCATGTACAGTGATCTCCACTCCTTCCCAAGTATCTAATTATCACTCTTGAAGACAAGTTTGCTGTGCAGTATTATCTTTTATTTCTAAACAAGCTACTGTAATACTGGTCATTTTAACCTTAGAGCAACAGCAAGTACTGGATATTTAGCCTGCTGTATCTCCCACATGACACACACACAACTGCCGAAGAAAACAGGAAACTGTAAGCACATCATAAGTTTTTTATTGACAACAGTAATAACTCCCCCAGCACATAGGCTTTTGTTTCATCAATAGCTGCAACTTTTGAAAAAAATAAAGCCAACACAAAAAAACCTCACAAAAACGTGGAACTAACAAGAGGTCAAATTATACTCAAGACTCAGCTCTTACCTCCTGATTTATCAGTGTCTTTGTTTATCTCACAGGTTACCTTCTCAGGAGACTGAAGCTCTGGTTCATGCTCCTGCGGGAGGAAAGAAATGGAAGAAAAATATCCTGTGTATCTCTTCACACTAAAAATCACACCACAAAATAAACTAGATCATACTGTTATCCCAAATCATAAAACATACGCTAACTTTGACAATGGTACAGTTTTCATCTTAGAACAGCTCTTTTAACAATGAATATTTAAGCCTTACATGATAATGCACTTGGCAGCCAGGAATTTCCACAGACAAGACAATTTCTATCATAGTAACAAGGTAAGTCTACCAGTACTGCTAGGTGATTTAGGCTCCAGGCTCCGCAGCCCTATCACCATCAAATGTAAGTCAAGCCCTCATGTCATGTAGGACCTTCTGGGGGAAAAAATTACTTCAACATTTTCAGTATTTCTGCCTGTTCTGTGATACATGCTAGTTACAGTGTGACTTCTTACCTTTATACTAGAACTCTGTGAATCACTTTTGTCTTTTTGTTGCTTTTTCTCCTCTCTCCTGCGTTCATATGCTCGGACCCTTGCACAAGTCATCATACTTTCAAAGTACAAGTAGACAGGATCCTTGTCCTCCTCTCGAATCTAAAATAAAAAGCCAAACAAAAAACCCTCTCCATTCTAGATGCACATTAGATTCATGAAACAGTTTTGCTTTCTAACAACACTTCAACATTAATGCTTCAATAGTAGATATCAAAAGAAAAGTCTAGCATTTAAAGCTGAATCTGCCCTCTTGGTATCCCATACCCCAGTCTACATCTTGCTTCCAAATGACATGGCGGGGCGGGGTGGGGGGAGGGGGGGGAAGCACAGAACAGAACACCAACACCACCCGCAAAAACTCAAACCCATTCAAACACTCTTCTAAGTGGGGAAACAAGTCCTAAGTCTCATGCATTGTTTAGCATTATCTGGTATACATTAAATAGCAACTCTGGTATGTTTGCTCTTCAGACATAACTAGACTCAACTCTACTGCTGCTCTTCCTCTACTGCTGTTTTTACTATTGTTAGATACTAAGTTGAGGCGAGAGGCAAATGCAGATTCTTCCAACATTGGCAGTGAAACCTCAAACAAGAACAAAAAAATACTCCAGAGCTACACTGAGCACTGTGTGTCTGTATCCCAATTTTTTTTTTTTGGCAAGTAATTCACTGATCAGAGAGGCTACATTATGCAGAAAATTTATAAACATTACAGGACCAGCAATCATTTTGCCAGAAATAGCATGTACTATTGCATTTTTTAAATGAGGCTATTAGTGAATCATAATCACCTTTCACTATCTGCATATTGCTACAGTAAATTCACAACAGAAGATGGACACAGTTAAAGATTTATACACAGTCAATTCATCCTAACTTATCAACATACCTATCGGCTGTCAGGCTTTCATCTCAAATTTCATCTAAAATGGTCTAGCACAGAAGCTTTTAGCAGTGTTTGTTTTAATTTTCAATACAAAGAAAACCAAATACATCTCTTCTCCTTTCTTACCACTGGATTAGGTTTAGGAGTATACACTCGGCCTGGTTTCGTTCCACTGGAAGATCTATGCTTACTAGAAAGCAAGACTTCAGGGTTGGGTAGTACCGCAGATTTAACTGGTTCAATAACAGATGGTGTTGGGATGTAAATTGGCTCTGGATCTATTTCACCTTCTACTTTCACCCACAATGGACAATTCCTAATAGGCTGCTCTGGCTCCGAGTCACAGATAGCTGGGGAAAAAAAAGGGGGGGGGAACGACGACAAACAATTTACTTACAATGAAACACCATCTAGAACAGCAGTAACAGAAATTTTTGTTTGAGCCTGAGGTCTAGCCATGTAGTGATCAGTAGTTCATACTGCCAGAAAATACTACTGGTTGTTTTTCTGGTCTCAAATTCTAGCCAAAAGTGACTGGGATTTGTCCACAAGAAAGAGGAAATAAAAATAAAAATGATTCTACACTGATCATTGTTTCTCAGTTGTACTGTGACAGCAGATACAGAGAACACTGAAGAATTAGTGATCTTCATTGATGCTGTATACTTAAAAATTACAAACACCCCCAAAAAACAGACTTTATACCACAGGTCTATGGAAGCATTCATTTATTCCAGTGGAACACCAGAAAATACTATGTTCGTTTTTAGCTATTGCCAAAAGTACTACCAGCAAGAAAGTGAAACTGTAAATTCATGGTCAGTTTCTACCAATCTGGTTTTCTGAGCATACCTTAGGCCCAATCTGAAACTACTGTAAATCACTGTATTTCCACTGAAATCAATGAACTATGCAGCTATATACAGCAACTGAGAATACAGCTTTAGATACTCACTTGAAAAGAGGGAAAGAAAACAGCACTATGACAGTGAAGTTTACCAACAGTCATAGCAGTAATTATCTCATATCCTTGGTCTTTAAAGATATTTGGAGAGTTGAGCAAGAGTTTAAATTACCAAAAAGAAACTCCAGCTGTTTGATCACAATAAACAACTAAGTAGTGCCCAAAATGCTGATCAGATAAGAGTTTAAAAAACGGGAAAAGGTGTTATGTCCTGCTAGTCAGCTATACGAAAGCAGATGTTGCAGACATCTCTTGGAATTCACTCCCAATTTCTGGATTTAGAAATTGCATCACTACTACGTCCTAATAAAAATGCCCACCAAGATAGGTGGTTTCTGCAAAGCTGCAAGTTATCACTTTTGTCCAGCAATACTCACTGTATTCCACCCTTTTTCTCTTCTTCTTATCTTTCTGCTTCAGTTCATCTTCCTCCCCATCACCCTCTTCTTCCACATCTTCATCCTCTTGCTGATCTTCTTGTGTTCCATAGAACACAAGATTTCCACGTACAGCCTTTTTCATTATTTTCTTATGTTTTGATCCTCCCTTCACCAGCAACACTCTTCTCTTCAAGCAAGTGCAACCAAACATACAGTCTGGCCTGCGGCAGTGGGTAGGCTGACGTTTCTCCAGTGCTAGACTAGCACATATGCAACCCAGTCGACAGAAATCGTTATTGCAAGGAGGTGCTCGTCGTCTTATTATTTTGTGGATAGGTTTGTTTTTGAGAGAAGCCTAAAGGAAGTTTTAAAGAATTATACACTTCAAATTCCAGTGAGATTAAATCAAGTACATGCACAATTGCTGTTCAAAGTTCATTTAGAATAACCCCTCCAACTACATGGTTTACATATGAAAATTTGTCATCTATACTGGAAAAAAAACCCCACAGAACAGGAGAGTTTGCATTTGAAGTCTTCTGAGAGGCAATTTGAGACAGCTAAACCATCTTGGTAGTAAGTAGGATGTGAGAAAGCAAAAGAGGTTATTATGTGACAACCAAGTTACATGATCAGGATTTTTTTGCGGTTAGTTCAACTAAAAAAAAAAAGGTGACAAATGGTAAGGAAATGCAGTTACTGAATAGCAATTGTATTAACCAGAATTTTTAATGGTGAAAAGTTAAGGTAATTCAAATTATTCAAATTAATGATTCATATCAACATGCTATTATCACAATTAGTTTTTTCACATACTATGTCAACACTTCTCAACTTTCACTGCAAAGACTACATCACAAAGGAACATCATGCTTTGTCATGCTCCTTAGCAGCTTCAGTCTCATTTATCTTCTCCATCTATATGCAACATCGGTTAAGTGCACAGATTTGGAAAAGCAACAGGACAGAAAGGAAACTATTACAGATCTACCTGAGCTGTAAGCAGGGTTGCTAGAGAGATGTCTGCTCGTTCTTCTGTAATATAGGTCCGTGGTTTGCCATCCCAGAGAGCACAGTCCTCCAAGTCCATTAACTTCACTTGAGATTTAGACAGACCTGGTGGACGAGCTGCTTGTTGCTGTTGCGGTGCTTGGCGCAAACTAATCTGTTTTGGAAGTATGTTTTCATCCAGAGCTGGCACTACAAAACTATCTGCTTGGTTAGTCAAACTGCTATTTGAGACAGACTTAGCAGCCTTTTCCCCTGATGCTGAAGCGTTCTGTTTCTGCTTTGCAGAAAAAGGTGAAGGCAGTATAGGCTTGTAAGATGATTTTACTCTACTGTTTGTAGATGTCTGTCTGTTTTGAGTCTTTGTCTTCCTAGAGGTAGATGATAAAGGAACAGGCTTGAAAGTGTAAGATGTTGATGGAATTATGGTGGACTGCTTCTTTAAAACACTGTCGAGTGTTCGCACATAGCTAGTGCTCTTAGTGGGAAGCTGATACACCACAGGAGAAGCGGGAGTGCTAGAAGAGAATCCCATACTCGTTTCCATCAACTTCCCTTCATTTTCCAGGTACTCATCCAGCTTGTCACTACAGAACGCTGAGCGATTCTTCAAGGAACCTTCTGAACTGCCACCTTAACAAATAAAGAGCACTTTAACTAGCTCCTGGGAAAACATACTGACAAATCTTAAAATAATTAAACAATAGAGGTAAATACCTCTCTAAAAATATATATAGAATTCCTTTTAGAGAGTAAAACACAGGCATACCATATAATCCACTCTGAAACACAACCAGCTATCTGAACAACTGGTTTTGTGGAGATTTTACATGTGTATTCATTCACAAAAACAGTAAGCTTTCAAAAGGCAGTGCTTCCATGGCAGCTTTTTGTCCTGAACATCTAGCCTACCTGCTATACCACAACACACCTGGAATACCCCAACACAACATTGTATGAAAATGCAAAAGGTACAATACAAATATTTAATCTAAATAAAAAGTGGAAAATTGGCAAATTGCCAAATATCCATTTCTCCCTGAGGCAAGGCAAAGTAATCAAGTATGTAAGGAACACCTACTCTAAGTGGAGCTGAAAATACACCAATATGAATGAAAATTACTCCAGTTCATTAGGGTCCCTGGGGCAACAGAATTCTGAAATTACCATACTTTCCAGTAAACTCAAAACTGCTGAACAAAACCAAAACTATTACAGCTTTGATCTTCACTCAAGCCTTTTGTGTGAAACAGAATACATGTATTTTTATCTTACCCAGAATAAGTTTCTCTCTTCCCTCATAAACCTCCATTCTGACCATGGAAGCAGTACCAAAAAATTCCTTTACTCTTGACAGTTTCAATATAAAAAAAGATAAATCTCTCATTAAGACACACACAATTATCAAATTGCAAGATCTATGGAAGGTCAAGAAAAAGGCCACTTGTTGGAAAAATGTACTGATCTCTGGTTTTGGGTTTGGTTTTTTTTTTTTCCCTACCTTCATTTCTAGAAGCACCATGAAGCTTCCCTCGCCAGCCTTTGATTTTTCTGAAATCATTTGTCTTTCCTGTCCTGGAAACAAAAGGAAATCCAGCATCTGGAAAAGAAGAAAGCTACCCTGAGTTTATGAACCAAGCTTGATTGTATCAAGCTCTCTACAACTACCTGAAAGGAGGCTGTAGTGAGGCGGGTGTTAGTCTCTTCTCCCAAGTAGTCAGCAATAGGACAAGAGGAAACGGGCTCAAGCTGCGCCTGGAGAGGTTTAGATTGGATATTAGGAAAAATTTCTTCACGCAAAGAGCTGTCAAGCATTGGAACAGGCTGCCCAGAGAGGTGGTGCAGTCACCATCCCTGGAAGCGTTCAAAAAACGGGTAGACGTGGCACTTGGGGACATGGTTTAGTGGGCATGGCGGTGTTGGGTTGATGATTGGAATGACGATCTTAGAGGTCCTTTCCAATCTTAATGATTCCTAGTTTTTACTTTCATTATAAATAATACAGCCACCAAGCCAGGAGACGTGGGGTTGCTACTCTACCCTTAATTGGTTTAGCGGTGGACTTGGTAATGTTAGGTTAGTGGTTGGACTGGATGATCTTAAAGGTCTTTTCCAACCTAAACGATTCTATGATTCTATGAATGTCCTAGCAAACTCTGCTTATTCCTTTTCAGGGACAGATGAACAGCAGTAAATCAAAAAGCTGAATAAAGAGACGTGCTTTTTTTTTTTTTTTTTAATTAACAGAATACTTAAAGCCAAGCTTCCTGTAGAGTTCTGCTGTATGACCATGCTATCCCATACAAAAGGTATTTCTCCTGTATTTTCAGTTTCGGTTTCCTTAGCAATGGTGTGAGCAGTTGATTCTGAAACTCAAAACGGCAAATCAGCAAGTTAGTAGGCTAAAATGTAACAGGCACGTTTTGAGCTGATAATACAAACTCTCTCAGTGAGGAAAGTAATTTCAGTTTCTCCCCTCAATTGAGCCAATGACTTTTATAAAACCTATAGAAACTTCATTTAACATTTGCTGTTCTGTCAAATTCAGCTGATTATCAATTAGGGGTAGAGACAGGGAATAACTGCAAAAAGGCAAACAGCAACATCTCTGTCAAGTTATCCATCAGCTCTAGGAACTAAGTTGAACGTAAAAATACTAATACAGATCTGTTTGGCTGTTTTACATACTGCTACGCTAGAAATAATTGCATTTGACATTGAGCTGACTGAGGTCTTCTGAATTGAATCCACCTCTTCTGCAGTGTAAACAAAGCTGACATACATCTGCCTCTACCAGCTCCCCAAAACAGCAGAGTAAGAAAGACACAGTAATCAGAATATTAAAGTAGGAGAAAGAGGTAAGTAGGAGAAAGATAAGCACCCCTATACTTTGTCCAACCAGTTTATTATTAAAAACAGTATCTACCAACAGTATTAGAATCAGTGACACTATAATAAGAAATGCACTTGTTTGGATACCAAGTAAGTTGGTTTTGGGCCCCTCAGTACAAGAAAGACACTGAGGTGCTGGAGCATGTTCAGAGAAGGGCAACAAGGCTGGTGAAGGGTCTGCAGCACAGGCCTTATGAGGAGCGGCTGAGGGAACTGGGGTTGTTTAGCTTAGAGAAGAGGAGGCTGAGGGGAGACCTTATCACTCTCTACAACTACCTGAAAGGAGGGTGTAGTGAGGTGGGTCTCTGTCTCTTTTCCCAAGTAACAAGCGATAGCATGAGAGGAAATGGCTTCAAGTTGTGTCAGGGGAGGTTTAGATTGGATATTAGGAAAAATTTCTTCACGGAAAGGGTAGTCAAGCATTGGAACAGGCTGCCCAGAGAGGTGGTGCAGTCACCATCCCTGGAAGTGTTCAAAAAACGGACAGACAGGGCAAGGGCACTTGGGGACATGGTTTATTTAGTGGGTATGGTGGTGTTGGGTTGATGATTAGACTGATGATCTTAGAGGTCCTTTCCAATCTTAATGATTCCTAGTTTTTACTTTCATTATAAATGATCCAGCCACCAAGCCAGGAAACATGAAATTGCTACTCTACCCTTAACTGGTTTAGTGGCGGACTTGGTAATGTTAGGGTAATGGTTGGACTGGATTATCTTAAAGGTCTTTTCCAACCTAAACGATTCTATAAGTTTAAAAAAAAGCACAATTGGTCAGCACTTTTGTAACAAATAATTATCATGATGTTACAGGTTAGCCCCCAAGTGGTGCCTCAAGTTCTTCTTCTGGAAAGTTCTGATATTCAGCTCTGTGAAAGACAACTTTTTTTGTTTTGCATGTGAGCAACATCACAGAGATGTAGATTGCTTAGGCTTTTCCTGAGCCATTTGAGAGTAGTTAATGTGTATAGTTACATTTTAAAAAAATCCAGCTCAAAGAGACAAAACATGCCCATATAAAATAATCTAGACAGATACTATTACTGGATCACAACCACCACAAAAACAAAGGCTGAAGACAATCTGGCCAGAATTACTCAGGACTCCTTGGCCAGTAACCGCATAATGATTTAAGGAAGTTCTCACATTTTGTCATTTTAATACCGCTTTAATCTCTTTAAGATACCAAGTTTAACTAAATGTCCATTCCCTCCTTCTGGTCATTGATAATAAAAACATAATACTTGATATTTCAGCAAATTCATATTCTACCCACCTGGAGAATTGGGATTGGTTCCTGGATAGCTCCACAAAGAGTAATTTGAGTAGGAAAGAGGAAGCTGCACACCCAAATATTTCAAGTCAATGCTCATTGTTGGGTCCACAGAATTCAACTTCAGTCCCACTACAAGAGGCAAGTATCAGTAAATGTCTCAATGCAGCAAGATGTTAGGAAAAAGAAAGTCAAGATACTTATTAAAAAATAAACCAGTAAATTATATACAGGCTTTTCTAGCATTCACCCACCATTTTAAGAGACCTGAAAAAGAGCATTACCAATGTAACTGTTACTTATATTGGATTTGCAGCAGGTATGAATTAAAGAGTATTTCAGGGAATGTGAAATAAAGCAAAAAAATTAATTACTTTTCTTGGTTACTAATGAAGTTTCCACAGAAATTTATTAACCAAAGTGCCAGTGTTGTAATAATTCTCACAATAAAAGTTTTTCTTTCTTTGTTTTTTTTGAAGAAGTTAGCACCGTTTACACCCTTGAAGGCTAGAGTTACTGCCTGAACCAACCCAGCTGACTATTTGACATTTCATATCACTACATAAATTATCAATCCTGCCAGTGGTACTTACACATACCCTTCTCTACTGAAACCTATTCTTATGCAAGAACATACACCACACACACTTCAGTTTCAACCATCAATAAGAGACAAGAGCAATCCACATTTTAGTTCTGAAGAAACAAGTGTGAACATTTGGAAATTATGATATAAACAAAGTTGTATTCAGACAGCACTCTCAGGACTAGTTCATCAAATGATCCAGATCTCCTTTTTTTTTTTTTTTTTTAAGCAAGTTTGGCAGCTTGCAATAAAACACTTCCCCTCCCCTGCTCCCCCTTTTTGAAGCAGGGGGAAAACGGGCTATAGAGATACTAAACAATCCACGTTGTTGATACCACCACAAATGCTTAACTGCCTATAGTACCTTCCTTCATCAACTCCCCCAAAATACTTGCATTGAAAGACTTTGCTTGGTCATAAAAGGTATCTTTATCCATGGCAAAACAAATATAGATACAGAAATGCTGAGAAAAAAGAAGCTAGTAAATTTGACTTAGTACCTTTTTGCAGAAAATACTGTTACACTGAATTCAAGAAATGACTACTGTCAATCAAATTCAGCTCACACTCTGGAGTTGAGAACATCTATTTTGGTTTTTAGCTATAGAAACCTACTAATGTTGCTCCTGTTGCCAACAAGTCTGAAATTCATGTATTAAATATATGAGTTTTGAAATTGAAAATGTATGACTTCACAAGGCTCAGGACACGTAAAGTGATATTCGCACATGGAGTAGAAACCTTATGTTGGTGTTACACACTTCTGTTCCTAAGCAGCATCACAGTGACCTGATTACTGGCAGCCCAAAAACAATCAACACGGAGCAAATCTCAGACATGGTTGTTTAAACGGATACCATTATCAAAAGACACTCTACACTCCAGTAAGATATAATTTTCAAATCTACATATGGAAAATGAGCAGAAAGCAAGTCAATCAAGCACTTTGTATAAAAACATGTCAACTAGCAAATGTCAAGATGCCATCCATTTCTTTTCAAGCTCAATTTAAAATAAAATGGAAAGAATATAGTTTATTTTGCTCCACACTCCATTTGAATTATTCTGTCATCTTCAAAAACAAGCTTAGCTTTTTTTTTAACACTCAAACAAAAATAAGAACATCACCCATACACAAAATTGATTATTTCAGTTTAGGATCATGAAGTAAACAATACCCAGACAAAAAACAGAGGATGACTCGAACAAGTGCAACATGGAATGAACACAGACAGCCTAAAGAGAACAAACAGTAAGTGTATGTCAGTACAGACATCATACATGACACATGAACTATCATTTTTATTAATTTCTATCATCCCCAGTATTGCTAAATTTCAGTTTCACATTATAGCAAATGAAGAACCATCTCTTTCAGAAGTTTCTCCTCTCCATCAGATGCATCTGCTAAGTCTGAAATACAACGCTTGACAACAGTGCCTTTGATTTTCAGGAACGTAATGAGGGATTCATGTTAGCTCAGATAGAAGAGGCATCCCGTAACATTCCAGTACTCCAGCAGGAACTTTCCTTCTAACATGCTTAAGTATAATTCCCTTCTTTCTGAAGCATCTTCTTCCTGCAGTCCTGGTGTCTCTAAGATCTAGATAGCCTCAATCACCATTTTTATAACTTCACAGATCAACACCAATTGTGGGGTTCAGGTACAGCTCCAACACACCATCAGTGAATCTCAAAAAGCAACTTAAGCTTCTCAACTAGTGTGTCTAAAACCAAAAGCAGACTTAACGTTAAAATTGCTACATCCATTTCCCATACTGCAGTGAGGACAAGAAAGCCAGGAAGCTTCTATAAAATGGCTGAAAGCACATTTAGGAACATGCACTTCACATCCCCCAGACAGAAGGGAATCATGTCTCTTTGTCTGTTCTGTAGTAGATGACAAGGAGGTGTTAGTCATTAAAAAATAATCCAGACACCAAGCCAGGAAACATGAAATTACTATGCTACCCTTAAGTGGTTTAATGGTGGACTTGGTAGTGTTAGGTTAATGGTTGGACTGGATGATCTTAAAGGTCTTTTCCAACCTAAATGATTCTATGATCTGTGGCCCAAGAAATTTTGGTGAACAAGTATCAGAATCAAGAAGGCTAACAAGGCTGCACCAAGCTCCAGGATGCTACTTAGAATCAGTATGTCTGAGAAAAGATACAGCCCTGAAGTTTGGCCTAGAGGCACTCTTCAGCCACCTTCTTATGATGATATTGTGGAGAGAGAAGAAAAAAACCCCAACAATCCCTCTCTCCATTAGCATCATTGTGTTCCTTCCCCAGTCTCAAGTCTGCAATGGAAGGCAGTAGATCTGCAAATTTTTGGAAGGTGAAGGTAATCTGAATAACGTTTGATTCCAGTTCACATGCAGCAGCTCAAGTTTAACAACAGAAGTATATGTATTTAATTAGCTTCACAGACTGATCAAATTACATCTGTATCTGTCTGTAGTAATGCTCTTGCTGCAAATAGTCTTCACATAACTTCTTTTTCCTCTAAAAATTACATACCACCATTTAACAGGCTCAAAAGATTACCATCCAACACTGGAAATCATGGTCACAAGTGTTCAAGAAAGTCAAAATTCTTCAGGTCCTTTTTTCTTTGCCTGATCCTTGACTTTTCTTGTCCCATTTTGTAGTCACTGCTCAACACCCTTCAGAAGGTACCACACACTTCACCACCACTCATTTAGAAGCTGAAGGAAAAGCATGTGGGTTTTACATGTTCACAGATTCAGGATCATCTCATGAGTAAAATAACCCTCGCCAGGTGTTGTGGTAGCCAACATACCATGATTTTATTATACTTTTCTTCGATAAAGATAACATCTAGGAGGCCCACAATATAATCCTAAAAGGCGTTACAGCAATGTTAAGATTTGCTTAGCGCTGTATCTAACATTGCCAGCAGCTGACCACAAAAGGGATTTTACCACCATTCTTGAAATATGACAACACACGCAGATCTGTGAGGGCAGGTTGACCAGTGAGGTCATTAGAAAACAGGGCCGCCTATTTCTGGAATCATGGGAAGGGAAAACTGCATTTAGACATCCATGATACAACTGTCAACGCTGATGCTATACCACTGAGGTACAACCTGGCTGGGGATAGGTTATCTTATTTCATTCCCACCACATCTAGGACAGAGCTTTAAGAGCTCTCTACTACCCTCCTTACGACCACTTTGCAAAGGTGTAAGACAGGAATGTCAGCCCAACACCAGCAAGACGCAAAGGCATCCCTTTAAACAGTTGCAAAAAATGCCAGGCTAGTTCTCATCATACCCCGCATGTAAACCGTTCAAGATAATCCAGGGTTCTTCATAGCAGAAGCTCTGTGAGGACCCAAAATAACTAGTATCACGGTCAAGATCAGTATTTGGAGTCTCAATCCCTACAGCATTACAACTATTCTATATGTTTGAAAAATTCAGGACCCGAACCTCAAGAGCATGAGGTATGATGCTTCCATTCAGATCAATTTCATCATCATCTGCTCTGATGCCTATGTTAACGCCATCAGTGTCAGGACTACTACTGCTGAAGACTCTCGACATCATCAGTAGAGAGAACATCAAATTCTGCTGTGTTGATCCTTGACTTTCTTCCATCTGACCTCAGGATAGCATCATATATAAATGAAAGATCATAAGCCAGAAGTACGTTGGTTGGCCCTCTTAGATCCAGGTTTACCAGCCACGTAAGTGACTCAAAAAAATACTGACTCAAACATAGCAAATGTAGACTTAGTTAAGAGTTTCTGGATCTCTAGCTCCTCTACTACCAGGAAATGGCTATTTTCTATGGAGGAGTAAAATCAACACCATTTGCTCTCTACAAGGATTAGCTCATTACAAAACAGGCATGGCCTGAAGTCTGAAGGCTCAGCATCTCCTGCAAGAGGCATACAATGACACGCAGACTCTTGTTCTGCTGTTGGAGATTCAGGAGTCATCTTCTGCCTCCTCTGCCTCTTCTAGTTTGCAACATGAATGTGTGAAAACAAAAACATCTTTATTGGCTGGCTGAAACTACTTTTAAAGCCTCTACGAAAAAAGCTGCATCAGACACCACAGATTCTCCCTCATTGCCACAAGTGGCAAGAGGGAAACCGACAGTTTCACACAAATTTCCTTTCATACTCTCACATTTGTACATGCACACCTGTACGCTTTCCTGTGTTTGAAAAAAATAAGCAAAATCTGATCCCAGCTGTATTGGGCATACACAGTATTACATCCAGTAGGAAATTATCAACTCAGTATGATTAAGCATAATACACAACCAGGTGCAACAATATGTACACTGCCCACTTACCTTCCTGAAGGCTAGGATGTATTACTTGCTTATGCCTCAAGGTCTTCAGCTCTTCCATCAATTCCTTTTCCAGTACTTGTATTCTTGCTTGACAATCTACTCAAAAAATAAAAAAAGAGAGAAAATATAAAAAACACTTACCATGCAAAAAATTTACTTAAATGATTTATTTTCCAGGGTGTCTTTACAAATTCCCTTATTGCAGGGAATAGCCACTGACAAAAAATACAAAAACGTACCTGGATCATTTGTAGTCAACAAGGGAGCCTGAAGATTCTGCGACTCTTCTCCTCCAGCTCTATCAACAGTGTGAATGTCAAGAGCTTCCTACATACATAAATAGCCTTGAGTAAGTATAAGATACCTTAAAACACTTACATGCAAACTAGGCCACATCAAAATATCACTGAAAAATTCAAAACAAAAAAAGTATGCATTCTTTTATACAGAACTCTAGATCCCACAAGTTGCTAAGTAATAAGAAAATGTTACGATTAACATAGGGACAAGATAACAACAGATTTGGAAAGAGGCTATAAATCTCAAAACTCAAGTTTAAAAGACAATACACCTTCAGCTTACAAGTACAAAGGGCTTATAAATGGGATATCGGAAAAGGTTTTGAATTTTACTCAAAACAGTTACGTTTTACCTTTGATGCAAAGGACACAAAGAGGACTCCATCAACATCTTCAAGGTCCGGTTTAACATCTGGAAGGATACTCCCAGGCCCCAGAGAGGTGTTCTTGCTTGTTATTACAGTTTTCCCTATACCTTTAGGTGGTCGACCAGCCTTGGAAATTTTCAGTTTCCGTGGCCTTCCTCTTTTAGTTGTAACTGATGATAGAGTGTTTTGATTGCTACCAGAGCCTTTCAGCGACATAGGATTCTTGAGTATGCCAGGCCTTTTTCTTCCACAGATCTCTTTAGCTGAAAAGGGACAACTTACTGAGCCCCTGAGATTAAAATGAGGTGATTTAGACAGAGCCCAGTGGGCCTCTCTGATTGAAGAGTATTTCTGTGACATTTTACTCCCAGGAGACTGTTTTTTCATAACTAACTCCTCAGTTAGACTGGCTGTGCCTGAGCAAGAGCCTTTGTGATTTTCAAAACACACAGGCAAGGAATCCAGTATTGCACTCAAAGGGGATTTATCCTTCTTGCAAGAGGAGAGCATGGTCTGCGGCAACTCAGATATCTTCACTGTGCTCTTTGTGACTGCACAAGGTTCCAAATAGACCACAGGCATCTTCCCACTATCCAGTTTTAACATTTTTGCTTTGGCAACACCTGAAGGACTGGTTAGCACACGCTTCCTAGACCTGAATTCTCCATCGATTCCACTTGTTTCACTGCGTCTCATCAAGTGTTTTTGTAGGATGGGATCATCATCATCAGTGTTGGAATACTCATCAGTTTCTTCATCTGTGTCTTCCTGTTTCACTCTTATTCCTTGTGTGCAAATATTTGACTCATAGTCATAGTCATCTACTGGTTCCTCTTTAATGACTACATTAAAGTGTCCATTTGGGTCCAACGGGGATGCCACACGGGAACTGCTTTCATAACTGCTAGCAATGGGACTGGGGTGGGAGGGAAAGGACAAACAAAACACAACAAAAGATCTTTATCAAATCTCTTCCTTTACCGAAATTCCATTATCTCACATAATCCTTGGTTACATATTATAAAAAACTTCCAAAATGCTCCAAGATGTGAGTCTGATAAATAAGCTGTCATTTACAAGCTTACATTTTTAGAAGCACTCAAAAAAAAAAAAAAAGCCATCATTAAAAACAATCTAACTTCTTATCTGAAGGCAGCAGCACAATTTCCTTCCCTAGTAATATCAGGGCGATGTTTGCACTTTTTCCTATTTGAGACTCAGCATGAACTCACGCTAAGCTATCACGTTTTAAATGTTCAGAAGTGGCCTTAGTTTGCTGTATATTTGGTCAAGTCACCTTATTAAAACCATTATGCTTGCAAATAAGAAGCCAAGTGAGTACCTAATGCACTTCAATTTACATGATTTAACTAAAATTTTAGTTAATTCATCCTGAAGCCACATACAGACAATTCCTGAATTCATCTGTTGTTCTAACGCTTACAGGATATTAATATCCTATTGAATTGTGCTCCACCTTCCACTAAGTCTGAGTGACCAGTAACCTAACCAGAATTTGACATATCATGCATTAGATACTGAGGACTAACAGTTGCAGCCAGTTACACTCCGATGATGGGCTTTTTTGAGGGACAGACACATCAGTCAAAAAATTCCAGTCAGCAGTTTTGCTAAGCACCTCAGAAGCTGGCTCCTCATCTTAAGAGGAAACAGCTAAGATATGAAACCAGAAACTCATATCCACAATGAACCTCAGAAAATAAGTCAGAACTTATTTACTAAACATTATAGTATTCCAGTACTACCTTTACATGTATAAGACACTATATATAATTTTAATTATGTTAAATTATTATTCAAATTCTGTTAACCTTCTGTTATTAAAATGCTATTAAGAATAACAATATTTGTTAATGTTAGTTAATGCTGACATAACTTCAACTATAACTTAATTTTAATAACAATATATTATATATAAAGGGAATATTGCTTTATATATTGTGCATATATGAGTGTGCACGTGTATTTTATTATTATTATCCACACACACACACACACCCCCCCTTTAAGGAATGACTATGCTCAGTTGAACCCCTAGCTGGGACTGAGGGAGGGGAAGGTGTGGAGGAAGGGGCTGCTTCCACCTGGTGTAGACTGAGGACATACTTAAGGGAGAAAGGCTGGGACACACAAGAGTCACAACATGGAGCTGGGAGTTTCCACCTCATGAAGAAAGACTGCAGTGTTCAAACAGGGAGCAGACAGTCCAGACACAGATTTATATATTTACACATAAAATTCCTAAGAACAAGACAGAACCTATCTAGAAAAACTGCTGCATTTCTAGGACACTAAGTAACCAGAATTAAGCTTGAAGCAAAAACCTGCCTCATGAGGGAACAGCAGGCAGCAGGAGAGTGGCATACCACTCCTGTTTTGTCTACCATCTTCTCTGGACAATGAGTTTCCTATTAGAAAATTTCTCGCTTTCATTTAAGAATGCCAAATTTAAGATTAAAAAGCCTTTCTTCTTCAGTGGGTTTACTGTGAAAGAAATTCTAAGACAATCCACTTAGAGGTTACAGGCAACTCAAAATCCTGTCACATTACGGCTAGAGGCTGATTCAGTACAGCAGATCTACAATGAAAGTGAATGCTATTAAGATGATCCAAGTCATCTGCTCCTCTATTTAATTTAGAGAATTTTAAGACAGACAAAACATCCTAATAAATTTGCTGGCCAGGAATAAATTTCTCATGCGAGTTCTACTGTTTTCAGCTGGAAGCCCAGTAAAGCCTGGACTTCTCTAGCCACTTTCCTTTATCCATTGCAAGATGTATACTCAAGCTAAGGATTACCTTTCCATTAGGGATCTGGACAGTATCCAAAACAAAGAAGCCCTGCTGTAAAAATGAAATTTTGAGACACGCATGTTATTTTACATTGCATATTGCTACCATAAGCCAGATGGTGACAAGAGGGAGGTATCAACCATCTACGTGCACGTCTGAGAAGATCAAGTATTTGCACAAAATGCTGAGCAGCATTTTTACAGATTTTTAAATTCAGATGCAATTATCAACTTTTCAAACAACAAAAAAGTTGCTTTTTAGCACTGAAGTAATTTAATTTGGCCCTTAGTTTGTGAAGTTATATGCAACACAAGCAGTCACAGAAACTTCTCTTCCTGTATTCTATGGGAAGATGAATCATGCAAGTTCGTCCTCTCAAAATCCTCAGCTTAATCTGAGATCAGGTAAAAATGGTAAAATAATGTGTTAACTAGGTCTTTCTTTGCCTGATACAGAATAATGCTCATATTTAAGCAAACTTCTTTATACCCCAAGTAACGTATTTGGTACCCTCACAATAAAACAGTAAATTCTTTTGGAATTAATCTAGCAATCTGTGGCTGAGGTTTGAAGGATAAATCACTTGCCATCCTCTTCCCAAAGGAAGGCAAGGAGGAAAGAAAAGTGTCAGGCTAAACACAAGGCAACTAAATTAGAAAAATAAGACTACTGGAGTATTAAAAATCCCACAGTATGTGTATTTTTGAAGCAGGAAATTCAAAAGACCTTGGAAGGGGGAAAGGGTACATTAGCCTCTAAGATTTAAGAACCAGTACAGTTTGCTTGTGGTTCCCTCCATGCCCCCAACAGCTGAGTGGTTCCAGGCATAAGCATTCCTACTGAAGTGTCCACAACTCAAATTAAACATTTATTTTCTTTACAATACACCTGATGAAACTAAACATACTACCAAGCCCCGGGGGCAGGGGGGGGAAATCATAGCACCTTGTATAAAGAAAAAACAGTCCTTTGCTTCCAAAGTGCGCTAATAACTGAAGATTAAATTTATTCTCAGGTATATGCAACCTTTTACATAGCAGTTCCACTCTCAAAAACATCAGAAAAAGTGAGCACTGGTGGGACATACCATGCACTAGGAACTCCACTTCCCTGGGAGAGCATTATCTGAGAGGCAGGAGTTCCGAACTTCTGACTCTCACCCAAATCTAAACTCAGCAGAAATCACTACCCTGCATAAAAGCAAGATAGTGCCTATGAACTAGTAGTAATAGCTTGCCTATGATAAACAAAAAAAATTGCCCAGTCTTCATTGATATGTAGATATTAGTGTGTGTAGTTTGGTTAAAAAAATGCCACTCACTCAACACTGTCCTTGAAAGGCTGACATATTTATGAACAGATGTCAACTGCATGGCATGAAATCATTGTCAATAGATCTGAACGAAAAAGGAGAACTAATGTTCTGAAAAACTTCAGCACATAAAAAGACAGTTCTGCCATTTCTTGGATGAGATCAATTTTTCTCTTTCCAAGTAGAGAATCTGACTTTTTCACATAGATTACAAAAACATAGAACAAAAAGCTGGACAATGCTTGAGGGTAGTTCTAGGACTGTGGTAACATTTATTCATCAAGGGATAGATGGTTCCTAGCCCAGAATAGAGAAAAACCCTTTACAATCTTTCCCTGTCTATGCAGGTTTTAGCACGTTTCGGAGATAAACTGTCTTGGAGGTGAAACCAGGGAAGGCATCTAATATGCTTTGGACCAAAAGAAATTAAGTCTGCCAATTTGCACCATCTGTTCTTAAGGAAGGTCCTTGAGTCCTTAAAACGATGTTTTTTATTCCTTGGGAAAGAAGGGAACAAAAAAACCCAAGCTGTCCAATTCAGGCAGTTCTCCAAATAATTTGCTTCAATGGCTTCTTCAGGCAAACAAAATGATGAAAATTTTAACTTCTTCAACTGCATCTGACCCCAAGGAGAAAAAAAATACCACTCTTAAGACAACATAAACCCTTCAGTAATTACTTTCAGAGTTTTACTTCCAATACGCAAAGTTATCCAAACACTTCTCCATGCTGTATTCTTAGGAACTAAAGCAAGCCTATCCTCTCTGAAATCAGTGCACATTCAATCTTCAAGATGTTTTTCTCTAGAATTTACAACAACATTTTTGGAGAATATAAGAAGTCTAGAAGACATTCTTCTTCCTAATACACCAACACTGGAAAATACTGCAAAAGAAAGGTTAGGACACTCTAGATCCCAAAGCAATTCTACTATTCTTAAGAATTATTGCAACTAAACTCAATAAAGTCTCAAAGAACGAAGAACTTTGTTATTTGAAGTTTTTTTACTTAAAAAAAAGCCTTTTTTACTCAAAAGGCAAGGACATGCTTTTTGCAAGGAGGGGGGAAATAGAGCAAACTTGTCCTCTCTAAAACACACTGAAGTAGGAAAGTAATACAGCCTTTGAAACAAACTGTATAATTATGTCATAAATACAATTTTTTTCTTTCTAAGAACTGATCTCTAATTACACCATTAACATCATCCTGATATCCTGCAGTTAAATAATTTCTTGGTGTACTGATCTACATAAGGCTGCTTTTGTCACTAAGTCTTTGGCAGATGAAGTCTGGTATTCAGACAAGACATGAAAAAACATGGCACGAGAGAAACCTCTTTTTTTTTTTTTTAATCACTTCTTCAGGTTCGAAGTATTTCTAGCATCTCTTGACAGAAATTAACTATTCACTAAATCTACTCTATTCTATTGCTTAGATTTTGGAAACTAAGTGAAAGTGCAGTAAAATAATAGGTTTCGCCAGACTTGCTTTACCAACACAAACACCTACTGGTTAGCAGGTTCCATACTATGGGTAGCCTCTCAATGTACACTAGATTGCTTTGCTACTGTTTGTGTGATATGAATAGAACGGTTCAAAAAGTCAGTACTGGATAAGTACATAGACATAAAATTACCACAGAGTAAATTAAGGTCTGAACAGTGTAACTGTTATTCTGAAGTACTTTCCCAGGTGCAGATTATCTTGCCTCACAGCAAACGTGAGGCAACTGACTACCAGCAGGCAGGCTACCTCATACTACTTTGTGGAATAAAAGAACTCACACAAGCAGTTATTGACAAAACAGTGGCATGTGGCCAGTTACAACTGCCTTGTAGCAATCCCTACACATACCCAACCTAAATACCCCCACACACCACACATCCTCACCCATCCGCTAATGAAAACTGAAGATACAGGGACAGCATGTCGCTGCAGTAAGTGACCCTAAAAAGAAAGGCAATGTTTTGATGACTGCAGTGTGCTCTGTTTACAACTCTGAAAAATTAAATTTAGTCTTCTAAAATGCTAAGAGGGTTAAGAGAAATCCCTCAACACTTCTTTACAAAGGGAGTTAAAGCAACATAGGAAAAAATACTGCACTCTTACCCTCCTCAGACACATTAGAAAGTCCAGACTGATACATGACTGTTTAAACAAAGAAAAGCTTTTAATAATACTAAGCCTTCTGCCATTTCAGGTCAGGCAAACTTTAGCTGTAAATCTGTCTACTGAGCATCCTATTATTTAATGTTTTACCAAATACTCCAACTCAACTGGTATTTGTGCTAAAAAGAAAATGTTAACCCACCTTTCAGAGACTTCTTGTTTTAGCTTTGGCATATCACCCGAAGACATGTCAGTGTCCAGGAAACCCAAGAAGTCCCTTTCTGCATTAAAGGACTCTTTTTCCAGATCAATGTCTGATGGATTTTGACCAATGAATGAAGAATCCAAACTTCTCTGATGCAAATCTAATGCATCAACTTCAGCAGGGCGACCACGAATGCTAGCAGCGCTAAAAACATCACCTCCTTCCAATTCTAAGTTATTGTTTTGTTTCACATCACGCTGAGGTCGACTATTCAACCCATCATCTCTGAATCCTTTAGCAAAAGGATTGTAATCTATTTTCAGCTGGGTAATCTGGATGTTCTGGTAGGCTGTAACTGCAAAGAACTCTGTCTGTGGAAAGGTAAACGTATGCACATCAGGGCCATTGAGCTGAATGACTTCCGTGGCTTTGTCTGCAGGCACCAAGTGAAGTCGTGGCAGGTAACGGTGCATAGAATGCAAGATTATATGACCCTCCTGGTCCAGGGTATTGTTGGTAAGTTTGAGTTTGTAGAAGGATACCGGCTGGTGCATCCAGTACTGGCCAGTGGAAGGGGATTCTGGATGAATAAACACTCGCCCAAGAACATGCGGTTCTGCCTTCCCACTGGGCTCCCACCAACGGCCATTCCACTTGTATCGGTGATTGTCCACAGGGGATATGTCCATGACTAGGATGTACTTCTGACTGGCATCCAGACCTGTAATCCAGTATCGGCAGTACGGGAACATGCGCCTCCCCTGCTTCGTCAGAATCATCTCCGTGTTGCGATGGTAGAATTCATTCCACATACTGTTGTTATCTAGAGTGACGGTAATGCCCCCTGAGACACAGTCAGCTGGGAGGCAGGTCTTGATTTTGGATTTTATTGGAGTTGATACGCTGCTGGCAAGAGCACAAGCATCACGGTTTGCTACTAGGATTCCTTGGTCAGCTTTACCATTTCCCTGCTGTTGTTTCAAGATGACAAAAAAAGCAGGTGCTGCACCAGACACAGTCCCACTGTTCCGGCTACCCAAGACAATCTGCTGTTTCTCCATGATGAGCGCTCTTACAAGCTCTCAAATCAAATACAAATTCCACACAGTTATGTTAGTCTTCTATGTGTGTTCACCATTCTGGAAAAAAGGAAAACCCAGTTAAAATTATTCAAATACAGCTCTAAGAAAGTAATTAAGTCTCATGAGAAATCCTTTTTGTAACAGTTCTCCACATTAAAAACTTAAAAGACAATCAGTACTATAAAATTGAGCACAATTAGGATATATCAATCAAGGTTGCCTGTGTGTATATAATTTAGGCCTTACAGACATGGGGGCTATGACACCTTGAAACTGCATTTTCATATAATGCTTTACCAAAACAGGACTCCTTGCTTTGCTTGATATTTCAAAGTGCTCTTTGTTCTGATATTCCCACAACTCTTCAGATCATCTGCTTAACAAAAAGCATTTGGAAAAACGCGGAGAAGTTTTCAGAAAAGCAAATGGCACATCTCTGACATGAAGGCAGAAGTCATTTGCTCTTGCCAGAAACAAAGAGTTCCCAGAGATCCAAAACTTCCCAAAAATGAAAAGGGGGAAAGAAAGGAAAAAGAGAAAAAAAAAAAAAGCCACGTTAAAAACATTTTCCCCAAATTTCTTTTTTGAAAAAGACTAAGTTTGTGTGGTTGGGATTTCTTTGGTCGCCCCAACCCCAAGAACTTCTAAACGTCCATCCAACGCAGGGACAAAGAATAGAAGGGAAAAAAAAATAGTTCAAAGGGATAAGCTTTGGGGAAAAATAGACAAACTAACCCCCAAAAGGCCAGGCAGCTAAGATTAAATGGATGAATGTGAAGCACCAGGCAACCTTAGCTACCTCTATCTTCTAAATTACGGAAATACTTTAAACCAAACAAGAAAACATTTGTACTGTTACGACTAGACTAATCACTGTTCAGGGAACTAAGAAAGTTACCTTTACCTCCACATACACAATTCCACTTTTGTGTGTCTACCTCACAGGTTAAGTATTATGTCAACACTCTAACAAAAGGTCATAAACAACTTAATTTTTCAAACAGCCTGTACACTTCCCAGTGTGAAAAAATGTAAAGCAAGCGCTTCTGGTAACTCACAAGAATGCCATTCCCACATTCAGATGCTTGTATTTTGATCCTTATTATATATGGAATACAACACTGACAAAACATGATTGATTCTTGTATCAAAATGGCTAGTTGGTGGGAACCAGAGACAAGAGTAAATCACTATCACTAGGAATTAGCTGCTTGAAAACAATCATATTTCTTTCCAGAGAATTAACTCAAATTCACAAGTTTTAAGTGAACTGGCAAGACATGTTTGTTTTGTTAGGACTGGGGTACTGTAGGAGGAAAAGAGTCCTCTGTGCAAACCAGCTGCCACATACATGTGGGAAATGACCCCAAAGCTCAGGAGGCAGACACTTCAGGCTCCATGATAAATGTTCTTGACACCTAGAAAAACAAGAGATCTACTTCTACCCTTTAAACTTTGCACTTTAAAACTTCATGTAAAAGTCAAATTGGAGGAAAAAACCCCAAACCGTTCTGCATAGGTTTTGAGACCTGTTAAGTTACAAGATCTGGTTTTCAGTTTTACTTCCCCACAAACACACCCACAACCACCCACCCACCCACCCAGGACTACTTAATAGAGTCTAGAACACAAAATGAATTAGCTGTTCAAAATCAGCTTCATATTTTCTATTTTAAGAATGCTGCCCTGCTCTTTCAATAAAGAGCATCTTAAGTCCCAGCAACACAAAAAGCTATCCCTCAAAAAAGCTTTCTCATGTTCATCTATAAAGACACAATAGAACTATAAGTCCCTATTAAAAGTCAGATACATGGGAGTGTGGAAAAAGGAATCACATCCTAAACTGTATGTGATTTTCCACCAACTTCCCCCCTCTATATAAAAATACAGCATATTTATATGTATATCGAACGTACAATCATAAGTGAGTTCACATTAATGGTGTGCGATACACATGAAAATTGTATTAGCTCATGAAGAAAATACACCAACTGTTTTCAAAACTCGTTGAAGAGACACACAAAGCCTGTAAGTTTAAACTTACTTGAGGTAGAACTTACACATGCCAGAAATAAATTCAAAAAAGCTCAACAACCATGCATTCATCAAAAAATCTATGCATATAAAGAGCTACTGAGTCATAGTTTCTGTTTTCCAACATTTAAAGTTCTTACATTGCACTGTTGTAGATATTTGTACCATAAGCACTGCTCACAGTATCAAGTCAAAGATATGTGTGGTTACAATGTGATTATGTGCAATTACAGCAGCCAAAAGCTACATTATTTCAGCACTAACATGGTCTATTACAAGAACAATTTCACACATTTTATCACACTTGGTCATACATGCTAGCCTGTTTTATTATAGCACGGAGTTTCTAATCCAGTATTTCAAAGAAAACGTGTGTATTTGTGGAAGTTGGTTCTAATCCGCTTCAGATACTTCACTTCTCTACCCGTATAGAGACCTTATATTTAAGAAGCAACACCTAACTAGACAGCAGTGGCCAAAAACGCTCAAAGTTGCACTGAGATGTGCTAAAAGGAAGAAGATAGCCAGATGTGAACGAATCCGTTTCCAAAATTAAA